CAGATGCATAGAAGTGGAGAACTCCGGAAAGTCTTAGAAAATAAGGGAATCGTCAAGAAAGACACTAATGAAGATCGTCTGAAAAAATTGACCACTTCTTCCGCAGTTATGCTCTTTATGAAGGGTACACCAGATGCTCCAAGATGTGGTTTCAGTTCCAAAGTTGTTAATGCCCTTAACGAAGAGGGGATTGGTTTTGGGTCATTTGATATCTTAACTGACGACGAAGTGAGGCAGGGGTTAAAAGTTTACTCCAACTGGCCGACCTTTCCGCAGCTTTATTACAAGGGCGAGCTTATTGGAGGCTGTGATATTGTGCTGGAGCTACGAAGTAGTGGAGAACTGAAATCTACTTTATCCGAATAGTATCAATCAACATGAGCTGCTTTGGGTGTGTCCACATCCATTCAATTGTCTCGACTACATCAACGTAGTGACACTATACATCTTCTGAAGTTAGCTTTTTATAGTTTTGATTGATCTCTGACCCCTTCAATGTGGGTCCTTCATACTGCATGTAAAAGCAAGGGATTACCCTAGCGACCGATGAGTTTAAGTTATATGTTGTGTGTTGTTACCTGTTACTGGCAACTATATTCCTTTTTCTAGTTTCTTTAGTTGGGTTTTCATTGACAAGAAAGCGTACATTTATGCTAAATGTTGGGACGTATATTTCCCTGTTTCGGCTTTAGAGTACCTGTCCTCAATCCTGAAACATCTCAACTCTCGTAGTATAAAACATTGTGGGATCAGGTTTATGTCCACCCTTCATAGTGAGCACAGATAGTTCATTTTCATAGTTCTGTCCATCTGTGTGTATATTGGATGACTTGAAACCTCTGTTTGTACTACTCAACTCTATTGAGTAGTCATTATATGACGGAATCAATTATTTGGCTTGAATTACATGTATTTGAAATAGCTGTTACATTCTTCTTTTAAGGTTGCGGCATCAAAGAATCTTCAACAGGATCTGCCAAATTTGAAGCGAAGGTGACCAAAAGAATGGTCGGTCTGTTGCCAATCACTCTTTCTCTCTCTCAATGCAAGAAATTCAAGGGGGTAGGTGTTATGGAGAAAGAGATGGCGCTCGCCGTTCCTCTTTTTCCATTTTCAAAGTCAAAATTTCTTACTTTATAGAAAAGTTGGATGCTTTTATATTGCATTTCGGACTTTTAAGATCAGTAGGCCAATTGCAAACCAAATTCTCTAGGAAATCCTCTGGCAGCTTCTGGTATCTTCAAAATTAATCACGTGTGATCTTTCCCAATTTCCCTTATCCCATAAACCAAAGCTTGGGCTAACGAGATGCATTCCTACTCCCCTGTTTTGTTTATAATCTCAAAGTATTTCTTTACTTCAATTCTTTGAGCTTGCGTGTTTCAGTCTATTATTTGGATAAATTAGTATTAGTTTATAAACCAGTATAAACTGTTTTGTTAATTGTTCATTGTTCATATCAACTCTTACAGATAGCAACTTCCCTAGAACTAATTAGAGTGGACAATGGAAACTCAATTTGGAGCAAATGCATAACCCGGAAGTATTACTTTCTTCCTCAAATTTTCACAACCAACCCAATTTTCTAATTAGCAAAACTCTGTAGGCTACTTCTTAATGCACTGATCTAGACAGTCCAGTAATCTAATATGAAGTGCTTTGAATCGGACTATTCGAGCTTGCAATTCCAGCTTCCGTCTTCTTAGATTCTTGTTCTCTTCCATTAGTTGCAGATGGTCGCCATTCTTCTGACCAACCGCCATTGTTTCAGATCCTTCATGAGAAGATCTTAGAAAGGCTGGAAACACACTAGGCTCACATTTCTTACGTAAAATCTCCCCCAGCATCTGCTTGTTTCCCCTCTGAAACTTCTCATGCTTGAATTCCCACCTCTTTTGCGACGTCTTCTTGAACCCCTGTTTCCATTATTACAATAATTAGATTGAAACTCGACTCTAATATATCATAACCTATCAAAAATCTCATTTCCTTTTTCATTTAATATCCATGGGTACTCATGCCCAAACCTATGTGAGAGGGAGCATAAGGAACACATCAAATAGATAACATATTACCTATTAGATCCAATTTCTATGGCAGAATTTAAGCATTCGAATCAGGAAAGTGGTCAATTGGATCCTCATTATAATGAATAATTCTTCTTCAAGATGTTTCAGAGAATAAAAAGTGGTGGGGGCATTTTCAAAAAGATAGAGAAAGAGAGAATACATACGTAAGTATTAAGCTGGCGAATGAAGCTAGAGAAATTATTATGCTTGAAGTACTTAGGCAACAACACCTCAGAGAATTCCGCAGGAGACCAAACTATGAACCCATTTCCCTCTGCATTCCAGGACACAATCCTATTTTCTTCTTCTTCTTCTTCTTCTTCCTCCTGATCTGCTGCTTTTAAATGGAAGCTTCCAGCCTCTTCTAACAGATCATAAGTCTTTGACAGAAAAGGAGCAGGGTTTCTGGTTTTTGAAGACTGCATAATCAAATTCACTCCCAAAATCTGTTCAAAGTTGATCAGCTTCTCAACTTATAAGCCTTCCACCTGCAGCCATTTGTTAGGAAGCTACCAGGTTACGTTCTATAAAGGGTAGAGGTTTCCTTTATCCTTTATTTCCCTTTTCCAAATTCTGCTTTTTCTTCAAGGCTGTTTGGTGATATAAGCTGGACCCATTAAAGTCTATTACGTTAACAAAATAGTGGTAAAATCAAAGCCATTCTTCTTCTAGTAATCATTATGAGAAAAACATGATCTAGCATAATATAGAATCAATAGGATTTGAAAACACTCCAGATATGAACTCGACTATTCAAATTGGTCGCTTATATATTTTAACAATTTCCTCCACATGAATATGTTCCTACTTACCACAAAAAAAATCATATTTTTATAATAAGTCATATAGAAAAAATTTCTTAATTTTCTGCATCTATGCATAAGAGTGCAGTAAGAGAACATTAAAAATGAGATCTTTTTTTTGCATATAATATTACATAGTTAGAGAAAGTTGAAATTAAGGTGTGGCTTTCGCGAGGAGAATTTTTAAAAAAAAAAAAAAAAACTTTTTAAGAGTATAAAAAAGAATCATCTAATTGTCTTAGGATATTGTTTTCCACGATGAAATGTTGAAAATTGACGAGTAATTTCAAAAGAAGGGCCGCGAACTCTGACCCACTTTTTTTTCTTCTCTTCTGCATTTGTATGTCTGCACCCCATTAAATTGTTTATTAATATCAAAATTATATTAATGTATAAAATATTTATGAGAGTGATACAGTGGTTATCACTAAAGGTCCGCAGTAACACATTTTATTTTTATTTTCCAAAAACCAACCCTTCTCGCTCTCACTATCTGGACGTACCCAGTCCAATCAACAACCACAGCATTTTAAGAGTAATTTCATTGAACAGCAAGCAGATGTGCACTTTCTGCGAAAGAAGAACCAACAGCATGAACGTTCATATGCGCCATGGTTAGCATCATCAGTCAGTCAGTTCCGCCCAAGTGAAATCCACCATGGGAACTGTAAATTGGTTGGGCAAACTACTCGAGGCTCGCTCTGGAGGTAGAGAGATCGAATGCCTGCACGCTATCACCATTGTTAAAAAAGTAGTATTGGATGATGGAATTCCTCAGAAAGGCATGCATTTTATGTGAAATGAATGATGCTACACTTGCGCTACGAGAGGACTGAAATGAAAGGGGGCTCAAAAGCGATTATTCTGATGGGGTATAACTACGACGAGGGATTGATATCAAATAACAGTACAAAAAGAATATTATAAAAATTTTGCACTGACATAGGTAGGGGCCGCGCGAACGCAGGCCCCCACTACCACAAATTATGACGTAGGCTCTGCCACATTGGACAGACCTTAGGTGGGCACCCCTCCGAAGTGCAATGGAGGTCACCAACCTAAGCTATGGGCCTCGATGATCACCCAAAAGCCCCGTCCAGGTAAGTATGTTTCAACGAAGCCCGTTGATTTTCTTTTATAGCTAGTGGGTACTTCTCTTCATTTCAGATTTGTCGATGTGGGACAAACTCAAAGTGCATGATAAAGCCAAATTCGTTTAGTATTGATACTAATTTTTAATCATTACATTGTTCTACATCAAGTTGCTGTGGTGTAGTGGTTATCACGTTAGTCTTACACACTAAAGGTCCCCAGTTCGATCCTGGGCAGCAACATTAACATTACACATTTTTTTGTCTCTTCTTCTGTAGGAAAATTTTCCATCCCTATTGTTCTACATGGAAAATGGCTTTGAGATTGGGATTAAATGAAGCGGCCTGCTAGGCTATATTGGGCTCCACCGACAAGTTGGGCCATCACATAAGCCCAAAAGGTCCCATTAACTGCAATAGTTTACTCAAAATAATAATAATGGTTTACTCAAAATTCCAAGGTCACTGGCTTGGGTTTGAGCACTCGAAAGGCCGGATGGTTAACGGCCACAGCCTCGAGCTGATCACCGCTATCGGCTTCCGATAAATTTTTTAGTAGCAGACCACATAAGGATAGGGCAGGCCACTGCATGGGAAATCAAGAATTCAGAGATTTTGAAGATTTTTAACTATTGCTATGGCTGAGGGATGATGATGATCATCATCATCATGATTTTGTACTGAAATAGGTTGTGGCTAGAGGTTTGACATGATAGAAGGCTACTCCATGGGCTTCCTCTCTCGGGAATCATGCAGTCTTAATGACTGCGTTTTCTTCATATAATTTCAAGGAACTAATGGAAATGGAAGCTTTGAATCAAACGAGTCATCTTTTTTGGAAAATTTTCCATGAATGACCTTAATTAATGGAAGATGACTCTTCTGTGTTAACATCGTGTATGTAGAAGAAACAGAGTTCCTAGGTACCATCATATTTAATCTTTCCATCACTACTAAAAACTGAGTTCCTTTCCCTCTAATTTTGATAAGTTTAAGATAACAAGAACACAATCTAAGTAATAAACAGTCATTAGTTCAATCTTTAATGCTATATATTTTATATAATGAACATGTACATATATGATTATGTATGTAAAGTACTTATATAAGCCAGAAGTAGGGGGGAAATTGTATATAAACATATAGCTGTCCATGAGCTTACCTCAAAAAACCTTTACACAGAATACAAAGACAATGATGTACTTTATTAGTATCTTTCTTCTTCTTCCTTTTTTTCTTACAAATGGAGGAGTTTCCAGGAACAGAATCTCATTAGAAGACAAGAACGCACAGAATTACACAGCAGAAGAGGAAAATGGAGATTCTGTTCAATGACTTCTCTGCCTGCATTTCCTGTCTTCTCAACCGGTTCCTACGGCTCCCTGTTAGATGATAAGAGTTTTGGTAAGAGTATAAATTGTCAGAGTTCCCAAAGACCCTTGCATACATGAAATCGCCAATCATTCCTACCACCGGATGGTGAAAACCACTGAACGATGTTCTAGCAAGGTTTAGCGAAGGAGCTGGCGAATCTTCTTCATAATTGCCAAAAAGAAGGGGGTCATGATTTGGTCGCTGGTAAGGATTTCGATATCGAAGCTGCTGCTGATGTGTGCTGAGGGTAGCAAGTATCTGGTTACCACAAGCTGAAGGTCTAGGAGGTATATCAACGTTGTCTTGATGCAGAGCTTGGGCTTCAGGCCCGACTTCCTCGGCCATTTGGCCACGACCATAGAGAGGAACCATTGTGGTGTGGGAAATATCAGCCTTGCAAACTGGGCATTGCGGGTGCTCATCAATGGCAAGAGAGACGCTCTTGACGTGAAGCCATTTATAGATGCAAGGCCAGCAGTACAAGTGACCGCAGAGAGTAACCACTGGCTCATGGGCAAAGTCTAAGCAGATGTTACAATCAAAGCAACCCTTGTAGGTTTCTCGATCTGTTCCGCCTGTACCAGAGACGTGTTTCCATCCTTGCGCAAAGCACTGTTCATAGGCCATGGATCGATCAAGCAACTCCAGTTATTTTCTGGAGAAGTCCACAAAAACACGGTAAATTTCTCCGTCTGAAAAGATTTTGGGTAACAATAATTATAAAAAGAATTAGAAGCTAAGGTTAGAACCAGAGGGAAGAAAGCTAAAAACAATACATTATTTAAGGACTACCAAAGCAGAAGATTGGTGGGACATTTAAGATACCTAAAACTCAACTGAAAGCAGCCAACCATGTGACCGACTTTGATTCCAGAAGTGGTTAGATGCTCAATTAACTCATCCTAAAAGATTTTAAATACTCAAGACCAACCACAAAATGAAACAGACTTGGCAGCAAACTATTACTAGGTTAGATAGAAGGTGGGTAATAACAATAAAATAGCAACGAAATCATTGAGTTGGGTAAAATCTTGAAAACTCAAAGCCAAACATGAATCATTCAGGCAAATGGTGTGAGATCCCATATCGGTTGGAGAGGGGAACGAAGCATTCCTACATTCTTTACAAAGGTGTGGAAAACTCTCCCTAACATACGTGTTTTAAAACCTTGAAGGGAAGCCCAGAAGGGAAAGTCCAAAAAGGACAATATCTGCTAGCGTGGGTTTGGGCTATTACAAATGGTATCAGAGCCAAGCACCGGGCGGTGTGCCAGCTAAGACGCTGGGCCTAGAAGGGGAGTGGATTGTGAGATCCCACATCGATTGTAGAGGGAAGGAAATACAGCATTCCTTATAAAGGTGTGAAACCTCTCCCTAACAGAAGCATTTTAAAACCTTGAGGGGAAGCCCAAAAGGGAAAGCTCAAAGAGAACAATATCTGTTAATGGTAGGTTTGAGCTGTTACAAATGGTGAACTCAAATTGAAGGAGCTCTGAAACTTTGTAGAACTTCATCAGCTGGTAAAATAATGGTCAGGAACAGCTATTTTAATGCATTAACAACTAAAGCAGTCAGTAACCTCTTAGACCTAACCATGGGCATAATACAAGTAGAGGCCAGGATACCCAGTGATTAAAAAGAAAGGACTATTATTTTCTCATATGCCAAACGAATAAACACAGAAGAGAGGACCTAGTAATTAAGTCATATATAACTCCAAAAGGAAGAATGTAATCCTGGCACATGGTCTTCCTCAATGTGCTCTTAGTAGCCCATTACCCTTTCGTTCAATTGTACTTCCTTCCAGAATTGAGTTTGTTTGAAGTAAAACCCATATTATGGGAAAAAGTAGCAGATAATTGCAAGGAATCTTCATGAAAACCCCCATCTCACTATTCCTATTTAGGAATGGCAATCAATCAAGATATCCGCCACTGCCACTACACTGTCTCCAAACCTGAAACCAACTTTCTATTACTTGAAAACCAGCATTTGGATCATGATTTGTGGCAAATACAAACTTCTATAGCTTGAAAGTTGTGACTAGCATATATTCTAGATATAAAAACTTTTCAAGATTGTGATCCAATTCATCATCACAAGAGACCAAAACCTATTTTCTTTGACGCATGTAGTCCCCTAGCCAGCCCGTGAATATAATAAACATAATATGGAGAACAATATGACTTGTCCACTAAAATTCATGATATGCAAGCAGACACATTATCATTTATCAGATATGAACTCCAGAAACAAGACCAGTATTCCTCAGAATCACCAGTCGAATGCAGACACCACTTCTCCCTTTCTCCCCCCTGACCAATGCTTAAGACTCCATCTAGAAGTGAAAATAAACAGAATTGCAAATGATCACTCTATAATACCAAACCCTATTCTAGCTTCCCTGAAATAGCCCAAACTGACCGGAATTTGGTGAGCTCGAGACAGATAGAGTCCTAAATACCGCATATAATAAAGATGGAGATAGGAAACAGGAGGAGGCCACCCACAGACTGCCAGTTCAAAATGTATTCACACGAAAAAGACACAGAATTTAGAGGGCAATTCTCTTACGTCCTAGTTGGTAGTCTAATGCTAGACATATAAGAACACATCTTGTTCGATAACCAAATCAAACCATCAAAGCCCGAAGTAACTCCACTGTGTTAGTGTGTGTTGTTCGGACTATTTTCCGCCGGCCAAAGACAGATGAAAGTGATTGATTGCCTGATACAGCTCCTAATGATGAAAATTCATCAACTAGAGCCGCGTGGATCCAACCCTACTCTTCCCAGGCATAAAATGGAAAACTCTAATAGTAGAGATATGAAACAACCTCGAGGCCCAACATTTTAAAGAATTTCTAATAAAACCACTACGAGGCACAGCCCAGAAGAATTAAGCCTTCACTTCAATTCAAAGTGTGTTCTGATATAATAGAATTATCATACAAACAGCCAAATACCACATTCCCGATTGTCAAAATTAAAACAAAACACAGATGGAAAACACATAACAAGTTGAAGCTTCCATGGTTTATCCAGAAAAAAAAAAAAAAAAAAAAAAAAAANCTTCCATGGTTTATCCAAAAAAAAAAAAAAAAAAAAAAGAAAGAGAAATAGAGCCACAGAAAACACATCCAGAATGAAAGATCCAGAAAATCCAACAGCACCAGAGCTTGTATGAAACAACGCAATCGAAGACAAGGAAAGTAATAAACATATCAAAACTTCCACCTCCACGAGGAAAAAATCACGGCGAAACGAAGCATGAAAACACAAGTTGAGAAGAGCAGAAAATCGAAAAACAAATCACGAAAGTTCAAATTCAGTGGTTCACCTGTGAGAGAGAATCAACAGTTCTTTTGCTAATAGCTTCCCACAAAACGAGGCAATGTTAATGCAAAAATGAAAAGGTTGGAGAACGAAATGACAGAACGGGAAATAGAGAGAACAGCCAGTTGACAGTGATCTAGCGTCCAAAGTGAATGGGGCTTTATGGACAAACCTCCGTTTTCTTTAACCATTCTGATGGGCCCCACACTAGCTGACGTGGAATAATCTCGCCTCATATCCCACACTATTTTCTCTTCTACATTTTTTTAAAAATTAATGTCAGGATTTAACTCAGTTTTCTTTCTTAGTTGATATCCATATTAATTATCACTTAATTATACTCACTTTAATTTATTTAATTGCCATTATATTTTCCTTTGGGAACCACAAAATCATTGTTGCGGTGGTTTGAGTTTTCTGCTTTTTCTTATAATTTATTTGGTTAATAATATATTAATGTTTTAATGTACCAATATAATTTTATTGGTCTAACACATCATGTACTTTCTAATTTCCAATTTAAAAATACAAAAATTTCAAAAGATATTTATTTTTATGAATCCCTATATATTAATTATAATTATAATTTTACTACTATACATTTCAAATGCCCACCATAAATAATTTATTTATCTATAGATTTTCTAAACATTTATTTTAGTCTCTAAATAATTATTTGTACTCTCTTTTTAACTTTTTTACAACAATTTTATTATTCTATATAATCAATAAGAATTTAAAAACATTATCAATAAACTTTGGTTGGGGAAAGATATTTTTGTGACAGTGGCATGAACACAGCTATTGCGTATCTGTCGTGTAGTGCGATTATTTTTTAATTTTATCTTACACGATTAAAAAAAAATTCCTTGCTTTATTTATTTATTTTTCTTCTCAACTTTACTTCTTAGAGTGTATTTTTCCAGTGTTTATAAAAGAAAACTGTTCAAATAGAGGAGTATTTTAATGAAAAAAATATAGCTATTTTCCTTTATAATTTTTTTTTAAAATTTCTTTGTTATTTTTTTAAAAAAAAAAACTCAGAAAAACACTTGAAATATACTCAACTAGTTAATGCTAATGCTAGATGTTTAAATCATCAGTCTTCACATAATTAAACTAAAAAAAGAGCCTTTGANAGATTTTATTCTTTAACTAGGTTGGTTAAGATTTTTTTTTTTTTTTTTTTTTTGGAAAATATTATATCACTAAATATAAAGTAAATTATTCAAACTAATGATCTCTTAATTAACTTTAACCATGGGTAAGATAAATTGATGGTTGAGTTGACTTAAATAGGGAGCTCAAAGGTACTGGCAAATATGACCATTACAACGCACACCAACGAATTATTTGTAGGATGATAGCATTTTTTAAAAGAGTACAGTAGACTGAGGATTATAATTTTAGTTAAAAAAAAAAAAAAAATGCTATGTTTGAATGTGACTAATAAAGGTAAAAGCCACATCTAAAACAGTCAAAATAGAATAAGATCAATAAAGAAAACTCAAAAAAAAAAAAAAAAAATGCTATGTTTGAATGTGACTAATAAAGGTAAAAGCCACATCTAAAACAGTCAAAATAGAATAAGATCAATAAAGAAAACTCAAAAAAAAAAAAAAAAAATGCTATGTTTGAATGTGACTAATAAAGGTAAAAGCCACATCTAAAACAGTCAAAATAGAATAAGATCAATAAAGAAAACTCAAAAAAAAAAAAAAAAAATGCTATGTTTGAATGTGACTAATAAAGGTAAAAGCCACATCTAAAACAGTCAAAATAGAATAAGATCAATAAAGAAAACTCAAAAAAAAAAAAAAAAAATGCTATGTTTGAATGTGACTAATAAAGGTAAAAGCCACATCTAAAACAGTCAAAATAGAATAAGATCAATAAAGAAAACTCAAAAAAAAAAAAAAAAAATGCTATGTTTGAATGTGACTAATAAAGGTAAAAGCCACATCTAAAACAGTCAAAATAGAATAAGATCAATAAAGAAAACTCAAAAAAAAAAAAAAAAAATGCTATGTTTGAATGTGACTAATAAAGGTAAAAGCCACATCTAAAACAGTCAAAATAGAATAAGATCAATAAAGAAAACTCAAAAAAAAAAAAAAAAAATGCTATGTTTGAATGTGACTAATAAAGGTAAAAGCCACATCTAAAACAGTCAAAATAGAATAAGATCAATAAAGAAAACTCAAAAAAAAAAAAAAAAAATGCTATGTTTGAATGTGACTAATAAAGGTAAAAGCCACATCTAAAACAGTCAAAATAGAATAAGATCAATAAAGAAAACTCAAAAAAAAAAAAAAAAAACCTACTGCAACCAAACATAGGGACCAACCATTAGTTTTCCGATGTTTCTGGTTTTTTTTTACTGTCATCGTCTTAGGACTCCAATTTTTCACAACTTCTCTCTCATAAATATATTCCTCTTTTGCAAAGTTTTCTCCATCAATCTCATTCTATTTTGACTTCTTTTTCTCTTATAAATATATTCTTCTTCTTCTTTTTTTTTTTTTTTTTTTGGTTGGTTTTTTCTTAAAATTTTTTGTCAATTGATCACGTGAGAGGGAGACAAAAATTCTGCTATGAGATAAGAAATGTCAAGAAGATCGACGAAGAGAAAGATTCAAAATCTGAGTAAGCAATTGGAATAAGTGAAGTAACTGCTCCCGATTGCTTACCATCTGAAGTAGTCCTAGCTTGGAGAAGATCGACGAACCTGAGATAAAGATTCAAAATCTGAGTAAGTAATTGGAATAAGGGAGGCAACGGCTCCAGACTGCTTATCATCTGGAGTAGTCCTAGCTGGAGAAGATCGACGAACCTGAGATAAAGATTCAAAATCTGAGCAAGCAATGGAAGAAGGGAAGCAACTGCTACCAACTGCTTATCTTCTAGAATAGTCCTGGAAGAAAGTTGTGCCTAGTGACTGGAATCCTCTAATGTCAATTGAACAAGCTGACAATCTGCAGAAGATACTGAACAAAACTACTGGTTGAAGAGGGGGCTGATCCGCTACTTCAGCGGCAAAAAAATAAGGTGAGGGTTGATGAACAAAAGAAGACTGCAATACATCTCCATTACCATTTTCTTCTAAGACTAATTAATAATATGAAAGGATAATCTAAATCTCTGAATAACAAAATTTTATTAAACTTCCAAAAATCATTTCTCCGAATATAAGAATTTATTGAAAGTAATACTATCAACTATTGAAAAAGTTAAAAGATAAAACTAAAACCTCACACCCATAAATACATATTTTTTAATGGGGAAGTATTCTTATAAAAATACAATCGTCATAATTACATTAAAAAAAGAAAAAAGAATCTTGATTGTTGCACCCTTCTTATTCAAATGACCTTTGTCCATATGAGAAGGGAGGCAATGTCTTTTGTAGTTATTGCAAAAGGGACACCCCATGTGGGTTTAATCTTATCCTCCAATATTTGCATACAGACTTAATATAAAATTCAATAAAACTAACTTACAAGCAAACAATTCTGATGTGTGTGTGTGTGTGTGTGTGTATATATATATAAAGAAATCATAAATGAACGGGACTTCACCGACAAAATTGTAGATATTAGACCAAGAGAGCAGCTGATAATCTAGTACATTAATGTTGGATAAGAGAGTAATCCAAAAGCTAATTAAAGCAATTTAGATGAGCCTAACAAGTCACAGACGTGAACAGCCCGACAAGAAAGGAAAACTAAAGAATATTGAATTTGAGATGTCTACCTTCAATAGATGAACCACTCCCACACACTGAAAGGCGTCTACTCCCCGTATTTCGCTGACCCAGTTTCAAACCAGACCTTTTTAGATACCAATTATTGAAGCTTCCAACTTTGATTATTTATATAGACCGTCTACAACTTTTATTTGAAATTGAAGTAGAGCATACCATTTGACATTACTAGTTGGTGATATATATTCCTATAGCTTATTTACCCATGGCAGATTGATAAGTGTTACGTGGGGTTAAATACACAAAAAATTGAATCAGTCAGAGATAGCAAAACTAGCAAACCTGATTATGGTCAGGAAATGGAATAATTGAAGCATAAACGCCCGAAACCAATGATGAATGGATGTCACAGTGAGTGTAGGTGTCAGAATAAGCCTCGCCTGGATTGATCCTTGTATAAGATCCTGTTTTTTTTTTATTGCGACCCTTTGGACGTAACCGATCCCTTCTCTTGTTAACTTTCTAAATAGCTGATTCAAACAAATAAAAGATGATGAGAAACTCTCAAAATGAGAAAAGTATAATATTTGCAACCAAAAAACAAACTTGTCAAATAATAATAATAACCATTTTAAACAGGCCTCCAAGTAAAGGACCAGAAAAGTCCAGTCTTTTGTTTCCAAAGTGGTTCCCATCATCTTCTGCTGTCCGCCCAAGGGCACATAAGAGTAGCGGATGAATTATATAACTGGTACATGTAATGTCCAGTAAGACAATTTAACAAGTCACGGACAAAATAGTATAAAAATAATTTAGCAAGGCAGTAACGATGATGATGACAATGAACTATTATAGTATTAGATGTTGATAAATTAAATATATACATATATATCAGATTAGTGCCATACCCAAAATAGTACACCTCCTTAGTCTCACAAAATTCACCTACACCAACATGGGGAAGCATTTCCTCTTGAGGAATCTCTTTGACCCGAGACATCAAGATAACAAACATGTTGAAAAGTTATAAAATAGTTTCGTGCTGATTATAATGGAGCAGACCTAAATTCATTGAGATAATGCATACTTAATCCTCTTTTCCTTGGTCACACCAACTGTTGATCCTCTCTTCCCAATATGGCCCAGTGCAACCTACAGTCAAGAAACATTGTTGGTGTGAGCATGAGAGAGAGAGAAAGAACAGGATGATAGACAAGTATCAAAGAAATGGGTGCCTGCTGATTTGGTATAACAAAAGCCTCTTCCAGAGAAGACTGAAGCAACTCCATCATTTGAGTATCACAGAATTCATAACATACATGCTCTAGAAGATCTTTATCAGGAACAAGTCCTCGAGCACGAAACACAATAATAATCATAATCTCAGTTTGGGTTTCAGGCAGAGTGGCATGCATGTATTGTCCTGAAGACCTGAAAGAACATTGACGAATTGCAAAAAGAATAGGTTAGAATAGCTTTTACTTCAACAAGGAGGAAGAACTTCCAAATCTTCAGAAAACGAAGATAAGTACACTACCCCCTTGGCACTAGTTCAAGAAAGCAACTATTGTGTGCAAACATGTTATTAGGTGGTCTATTTTGTGACTCAGCCATAGACCAGACGTCTGCCACAAAGGTGTACTTGTTTGGCTGTCCTTTTTTGGAAACATATTTTATGCACATCTTCTCTTGTGCAATAAGAACCTTCTCACTCTCATTGATGATAAAATATCCTCCCTGGTCATATGGACACTCCCTAAGCTCGGTAAGATCCTTCTCAGAATTATGATACAAAATAAAAAGACAACAATCTAATTGCTTGTTACAAATAATTTCCGTATGCCAGAATAAATGCAATACCAATACATATCTGTTTTGAAAAGGAAGTTAGAACATAATCAGCATAAGCACACTTTTCCAAACAACCAAAGAGATCTTATCTGATGCTACAATTTTCAAATGAGTAGAAAACACCTGGTTGGTACCTGCTTTAGGGATCAATCATTGAATAAAAAAGGGCCTTGACAACCTGAGCACTGATCAAGTTAACAACCAGATCGCCTAGCTATTTAAAAATACCGAGGAGCTCCAGTGACAGGATTGGTCATCAATTAGAAAACGCAATGACCATTCCATGATTTGTCGTGGATTAGCTCGTAAATTCAATGAAGTCTCAGTAACAGCTAGAATACTGAAGCTGATGATTATGAATTGAAATTATCACCAATAATCAAGACAAGAACATGCACCATCTTTGAAGTGGTGAAAACGAAATTTATCCCTAACAATTATTTCTCTATCAGCAATAACAGAGATGTGTTTAATAGCTGAATGACAATCCTCACATATTCGAAGGTTCTTTACAATCCTAATAGTCTCACCTTGATTGGTTTTAAGTAAACCAAACGCTAGGGCAAGCCTTTCACTATGATATCTAAGGGCATAATCCCTTTCTTCTTCTTCCAAATCATGCATCAAGGACTCCAGTGCTGGTATATAGCCTGATTCACTACAACGGCCCATTAATTCATCTAAATACCTATAGATAGCATTTGTTTCAGGATGAGACTTGTCACCCATGCTAAACATATAGGTTTTCTGATTGATCTCTATGGTGCTATAACCTACTTGCTTCTTTAGGCGTCGTCTAACCATCATGTTTCGCACCATCTCTACTTGATCCATTCTACCGGCCAATGCATATATGTTAGAAAGCATTACATAATGACCAGGGTTTTCTGGTTCAACTGCTAAAACATGTTCTGCAACCTTAACTCCAAGGTCAAAATTTTTATGCATTCTGCAAGCCCCAAGCATTGAAGTCCAAACTGCTGGGCCTGGCTCTTCAGGAAGAAATTTTCTAATGAATTGATAAGCATCCTTGAGCAATCCAGCACGTCCAAACATATCTACCATGCAGACATGATGTTCTACTCCTGGAACTAACCCATATACTTCCTTCATGCTTGAAAATGCCTGACGACCATCATCAATCAACCCTGAATGAGCACATGCAGACAAGACAGCAACGAATGTGATATTGTTAGGGCGAGGACCATAAGCTCTCATTTCATTGAAAAGCTTCATTGCTTGCTCACCATAACCATGCATCCCATACCCTGAAATCATGGCTGTCCAAGTAACAACATTCCTTACCTTCATGGAGTCAAAAACTTCCCGCGCTTTGCTTACATTCCCACATCTAGTGTACATGTTAATCAATGAAGTACCAAGAACCACGTTCAGATTGAAACTATTACTATTGGCATAATCATGCAACCAGCATCCGAAATCAAGAGCTCCTAGCTGAGAACAGGAAGACAATAAGCTTACTACTGTAGCTGAATCAGGTTGAAAGCCTGACCCTATCATCGGATTAAATAAATCGATTGATTTCGCTGGTAATCCATTCTGCTCGTACCCTGATATAAGTGAATTCCAAGCTATAGTTGTTCTTTGGGGCATTTCATCAAACACCTTCTGGGCGACTTTCATATCACCAGCTTTGGCATAGAGAGCAATTAGTGCAGCCTGAACGTACATATCAGATCCATAACCAGAAACCACAACGTGAGAATGAATTTCTCTACCCAACCTGAGAGCTGAAAGATCAGCACAGGCTTTGATAACAGACGTAAATGTATAATTCGACTGGGAAACACCCAAGAAGAGCATATGACGGTAAAACAGGACGGCATCAACAGAAAACCCATACTTGGAAGTCGCTTTGAGAAGGGAATTGAACAGGAATGAATCAGGATTTGGGACAGTGGGCAACAACCGACGAGCATACGTGATTGAACCAGCGGCACAAACCAGTGAAAGAAGCTTGGTGAGAAGTGATCGACTTCTATGGAATCCGGAAACAATGATATGGGCATGAACTTGTTGAAGGTTTCTCAGACGAGGACCTGCTTGAAGAAGCGCTGCATAGATTGGACTGTGGGGTCGGGAGTCAAAAATGTGAGTTACAGGATGTTGAAGCGCGAGTTGTTGGGATTCCACTGTAATTAGAGACTTTGTTTTGTTCATAGTTGGATTGATCAAATTTGTGCATCCAATGGTTTTGAAGTAGAGGAGGGAAGATCCTTGAAAGTACTAAATATTGGAACAGAAATTTATGTTTACGTCCAAAACAAAAGGCGATCATTGACACTTACATTTGCACTTCCTTCCGCCTCCAACTACTCCCTCAGAAGCTCCCGTCCTGCAACTCCGCCGACTTAGCTCGAGTGTAAGCTTTTTCTGCTTCATTTTTATAGCCTTCGTGGAATATGGGAGGGAATGAGCAACATTTATGTCCAAATGGGGTCGCGAACCGTCCAGCTTAGAAAAATAAATTACATAATTTTAAATATATTAGTGAATTTTGAAATATTTAAACTAAAACTTAAATATATCTTTAAAAAATAAATTAATCTAATTTTCAGAATTTTTAAACCAAAACTTAAATATGAATTGGTTGGTAAAACATTATAGACGGTCTTACCTTCTTTTAACAAAATTTTAATAAGAATTATATTGAAAAATGAACTAAAAAATTATTTACAAGAACTCTAATCCCCGCAAAGTTTTTACGGAAAATCTCTGCTTGCTTCCCTAAAAAGAAAATTTCGTAGGATCAAATGATGGAAATTGATTGAGATTAGCTATGAGTGAGATACCGCTCTAGAAGAGTTATAATTCTAAGGTTGTGTTAGGACTTACGACCTTGTGTCAAGACTTACGGCCAAGGAACAGTCTCAAGTAGATAGTTTTTATGGGGCGTAGGCCTCTCAAAAGGCAACGGAGGGCGTGCAAAAGTATGGGGCATAGGCCTCTCAAAAGATAACGGAGGCGTGCAAAGATTTCCTCGGATCAGATGGACGATGAAAAAATGAAATGAGTACGGGAATGAAGTTGGGATGGAGGCAGTGTCCGGGAGGGATAATTTAAAATCGAACTTTGGTCAATTTTTTTTAATACTCTTCTCAATTTCTAAACTAAACTTTCGTCCTCAAACATTAATTTAACTTCAATCCTTAACTTCCAAACTATCAATTATAAAATCTGTTTAACTTCCCATCCTTAAAACTTTCAAGAAAAAGAAAAAAACAAGATCAAAATGGTTTAACTTTAATAATATCCATCCTAGTTTAAAATACATAATTAAGTTCTAATGTTTGTTAAGATCATGATTATTATATTGCGATTTAATATTCATTTACTCAATTCTCAAATGCCTCTCACATCTAAACATGCATATGAGTTCATGCTATTTATTTGGATATAAGGACCAAAAATAGGTATGTTTCAAAATTCAACATTAAAATAGACACACAAAAAAAGAAAACTCTAAAGATTTAACCCTTACTTCTCTTAAGGTGCTGAATCAAAAGAAAACTCTAAAGACAAAGCTTGTGATTATCTGGACAGCCTCTCCTTTCCAAAGTAAAGATTGTCACTGAGTGAGCGTTAAAGGCTGAACAGCAAGGTGAGTATATAAGAAGGAAAGAATCAACGCATACTGAACAGAAAACCCCTCTTTAAAGCGCAGCCTAGTATCTACTAAAGGGATTTGGGCATCCTTCAAACTTAAGAGCACCAGATTTATACAGAACTTCAGCACTAAACTCTAAAGAATTTCGTATTCTCATGATAAAAGGCTTAAAAAGATTCAGTTGGCAGCTCTAATAATGCCTGCCCTGCCCTCTTCACTAAATTCCTTCAATCAATCACAGCTCTTTTCTTTCACTGTTATGCAGAACTCAGTAACAAAGCATCAATATGAAATATATTTCAACTGTGGCTTATTAAGCACATAACATTTACAGAAGGACTGGTTTTTTAAGCTGAGTAATATTCATCAATCAACAAGGGAAGGAGAAGAAAAAAAACACGCACACACACAAAGGAAAGTGGAATAACACACACGCACACACAAAGGAAAGTGGGATGGATTTTTCCCATTACTGCCATGTTCATCTGAAGATTTAAATCACTTTTTTTTCCCCCAATATTGAACAGACATCCAGACCCAGAAAATCTCAATGCAATTTGCAGCTTGGAATCAAAAGAAAAGACTCAACAATTTACTCAGAAAACTAATCATATTTTTCTCTCCAGGAATAAACAAGAAAGAAAACCCAAGATAGGGCAAGAAGAATGTCACCAACAATCTGCCTCAGCCAATCCCAGGAAAGGTCCTCCACTCTTCGCTCGAAATAGAACCTCCACATCGCCATTGAGACGTGAAGCACCATACATCCCTTAGCGAAGAACCCTTGAAATTCTCTGTCCTTCACGAACGAAACCATGAACAGAAGAAACCCGATTGCGAAGAGGAGCAACCCGGAAAACGAATCGGAGGTCTGAAGCAGGAGCTGATCGTGTGGCGTAGAGCCCATTAACTTAGTGGCGATATCGATCCCATGCCCAATCGTGTAAATTTCCTTCATATAGAACATCATCAGCGTCCCGCTCGTGATTGCGACCACAGAGTGAAGAAGGCAGATCACGGGGAAAGTCGACGACGACGACGATCCCATTTTGAACGGACGGTGGAGGCGTCGTAATTACTTATGGATTTGAAACTGCGTACATGGCTGCTCCCGTAATTGAAGGAACCCTAATTGCACAGCTGAAATTTGAGTTTGGGAGGAAGACGATGAGCCGAAGGAAACCGTGATCGGGCTCTTTAATTTTCTTTTTCTTCTTTTAAATTATTCGCGTCCTTTATATAATTTTCTTTTTTTGGAATAACCCGAAGAGAGAGAGTGTACACTCTGGAGATAAGTATCTCAGCCCCTGGGCCCAGCTGGACCAAATTTTTGCATATTCCACACTGTTTCCTTGATTAATACGTGGCAACGGCTGACAATGCCGACAGATTCTTAAGGCTCCACTTGTAATTATAATAAAATTATATATTTTAACTCAAGATTCATATTTGGACCCTCTCATTTTCTTCCTCAACAAGGAAGATGGGCTTAGCCCAACCTTGTTGCCGACTCCTTTTTTTTTTTTTTTTTTTTTTTTTTTTTTTTTTTTTTTTTTTTTTTTTTTTTTTATATATATATATATATATATATATATTAAATGTTAATTATTATGTTACCATTACATGAACCTTTTTTTTATTTTAAAGTATGATATAAGATGAATTTTTCATTCTTAACAATGATGACTTGACACCATTATGAGACAATTAAAATTTTATTTTTTAAAAAACAACCACTAAAGAAAAAAAAAAAGAAAAAAAAAAGAAATACCAGTTGAACATTAAGTAAATAATAAAAAAGGCCAACCAAGTATTTTTTATTTTAAAATAATTTAAATATTAATATGAGAAAAATAACTTAGACGCTTAGCTTATTCCAAAAGGTGGCATAAGTCATGTAAAGTTGTTTCGTATGACATTATCCTACCGTGAATCTGGCTAGCTTGTCATAGCTAGAATCGAATCGAACCAGGGCTTGACAACATGAATATTATGCTAGATACACATATTCATCGTAAGCCTGTGCCAAAAAATGGGAAGCCAACAACTTCTTGTTTAATTACAAAAACAAAGACTTGGCCAAATACTAAGCAGATGACAACAGCGAGGGAGTTCTTTCCTCGGGATTGAGTGAACGATCTCATAGCTTGCACTTACAAGACGGATCGAAGGGTTATGAGAATTTGGGTTTGGGGCGGGGTGAGGGTTCAGGATGTAGAGGGGCAAGCTTTTGAATCCAATGGAGTGGCCCTCCTTTCTTATGGTCTTGATGAAAACTAGACAGAGGATTTCCTACTAAAGCGAGTTTCCCATCATGGGCAAGCGAATACTCGAATTTCTCTAATACCTTCACTACCTGCCAGAAATCGGGTCTCTTCTCTGGATTTACAGACCAACATTGCTCGATCAGTGCTCGCATAGCCAACGGACAATCACTTGAGACAACAGGCCTAAGATTCTAAAAAACCAACATTGATTCGTTAAGAACCATGATCAATTACAAACCATGGCTCGCATGATAAACCCGACAAAGAAGATAATCTAGGAACAAACACGTGATCAATAAAAAGCTGACCTTGTTCACAACAGCAAAGGCTGCTTGAATGGGAGTCATATCCTGGTAAGGAATTGCACCAGCCACCATTTCCCACAACATAAGCCCGAAGCTGTACACATCAACCTTTCGACCATAGGGTTTATGTTTAATCATCTCCGGTGCCATCCATCGATAAGTACCAGGATCATCAGCCAATGGGTCAAGAAAGGCATCAGGACAAGCTATACCAAAATCTGCAATTTTCAGGTGGAAGTCCTCGTCAATAAGAACATTTTCGGGTTTAAGATCCCGATGAATTACGCCTTGTGAGTGAATATATTCCATGCCACGAGCGACATCTAAAGCCATTGCAATTAGTTTTCGCATAGGGAGAGATTGGTGCTCAAGTTTGTGCAAGTATGCTCTTAATGATCCTTGAGACAAATATTCGGTAATGACACAGTGAACTGGTGGCTTCCTACAGGCAGCTACAAACTGCAACAGAAAGTAAACAAACGTCAACAAAACTAAGAGATTGAACATATTGACTACAATCTAACACTCGATTCACCTTTAAAACGTTCGGATGATTGAGACGAGATAAAAGGGAAACTTCTCTGGTGAATTGCTTCTCCAATCTCGAAGCAAGAACTCCATTTTCGTCGTCCTCAGGCTGCCGAATAATTTTAACAGCAACAGGTTTGTCCTTGTATTTTCCATGATATAGTCGACTGTGAGCTCCATGAGCAAACCTTAACCCGAGAAACAACTCGGAGAGATCAACACTCCAGTCATCAACCGTTTCGACTGCGGTGACTCTTACACCACCGGACTCGAAATATTTGGTCCAGGGTGAGTCCTTCCGGGGCTTTGACTTATCACCTCGTTTTGCCGAAGCTAGGTGTTTCAGTGGACTGGTATTCAAAGATGACTTGAAATTGGCAGATTTAGAAACTTGAGGATCCATGTTCTTGAATTCCTTCGTTTGTTCTCTAAGTCGAGGAGTTGGAGTTGAGAATCTCTTACTCTCGGATTTTGCTTCCCTGAAAAGGCCAGAGAGGTTGCTGGTGGGAAGAGGAGACAGATACCTCGTCTTGTTGGATACGAAACTTGGTTGAATCTTCGAAATATCAGGATTTGGTTTCTGGGGTGATGAAGTTGGTTGAGGCCTCGATTTCAAGCCAGAATTGCGAGGTGGTTCGATGGTGAAAGGAACAGGGGTCAATCTTAACGAGTCCCATCGATGATAAACTGTGTGAGAGAACT